TCTTCCAATTTGGAATCATAGACACTTACAGTGTGTTGGGTTGGGATTTTTCTACTGCAGCTCTGCTTTTCTAAAGCACAACTTAAACAGCTCTTTAGGTATGCTGAAACTGCGTTGTCCTGCCTAAGCCATCTTGTCAAGAATCTGAAGTGCCAGGACTTGATGCACCATTTCAGAAAGCAATTTTGTGACTCTGCCAGCAGCTATGGTGCTGAGAGTTCTTGCTCTGTTGGAGCCGCATCCTCTAATTATGTTAGAGTCCTTTTTCTGTTCAATATAGTGTTCATTTGCCCACACTGTAACATCCCACTGAATTTTCTGTTGATTTGATGGATGGGGGGGGCAGAAACCAAAATGGTTTTTGTTAGAGCATGAAGGAAATGAGACAATTTTTTCTCTCACTGTACTTCTGAGAGCATGGAACTGAACAGAGAAGTGAATTGCTGGGCAAGTCATAGCTACAGGGATTTAGGCTAGAAATGTTTTCTGAACACCCCATGTTTCACAAAACGTGCATTAGAATGCTCATTCGAAAATAAGCATTTTAATGTGAATGCTGCCTTCAGGTTTTCTTTGGGTGTGGGTATTTTTTAAAATAAACAGCATTTTGTACATTTGTCTTATTTGTTCCTTCTGATTAAGCTGCATCAAAACAATCTCTGTATCCTATAGATTTCTGTATCCTGTAGAATTCTGATTAAAAGATAATAAGCAAATGCCATTCTGAAAACCATTTAGGGGAAGAAATATGTTTGCATGGGTCATTGTCAGTCTTGTGTAAAAAGATGAGTAACTTTTGAAATATTTTCTTCAGGTTTCTGTGGAACAGAACAAGAAGGAAAGCGACCATGTAATCATCAAGTGACGACTACATCCAAAAAACGCTAAATAACCTTGAAGAAGCATGTTTGTTCCACTTAGTCAGGACTTAGTTCTGTTATATTCTTATTGTTGGTGTATAGTGTCTTTCTGACATTTCAAACTGACTCTTGAAGTTGAAATAAATACCAGTTTTCTTGAATTATGTGTTTGGCTTTTTTTTGTCTGTTTGTTTGGGTTCTTTTTTTTTTTTTTTCTTTTGCTGCTTTTGTTTTTTGTTTGTTTTGCCTCCCCTGTATAGGAATGGTGTCTTTAGAAGTGTTTGTTATTTACCCATTGTGCAGTAGTAATAACATACTTGTTCAGGATGGCCTGAATTGCTTTTTTCAGGTGACTGGTGTACTTAGCAGAACTTTGCGGGAGAGGAATGGGATGAGCGCATGATAATGCTTGATTTTTGAATCTTTTTAAAGAATTTTCTTTGGAGAGAAGATAGTGCCAGTTCCTCAATGTGGAAGACAGGCTTTCTCACCTCTTCATTCAAATACAACAGAGAATAAGCTGCCCGTCTCTCAAATTTGGCTTTCCTTCCTAAGTAGAGATGAATGCATCTGTCGTGAAATCTTGTTTAATGTTTTCATAGGTAGTTTTATGCTTTGAGTTCCTTTGTCCTTCTGTCTGGATCTTCTGTTTTCTCCCACCTGTGCTTTGGTTATCTGTCTAGACTGACCTTTTTCAGGGCTAGAGTTGAGCTCTTTCAAGACTTGAGAAGAGTGCATAGCTGATGACTCTTAGCTAGGTGGTAGGTGAGCATTTCTGCCTTTTATGCAAGTGTCATAGCTGGAGGCATAATAAATAACAAAGTGAAAGTCATGGCACAGTCTTAAACAGTGGGCCGTACTTAGCGTATTGCTTCTTTGCCTTTCTCAGAGTTCTGTCTGCTTTGTTCCACGCTCAGCACAAGTTCAACCAGCTGCTCATCTTGCCCCCCATCTTGTTCTTCTGTACAGTTCAAGTTAATTTTAGAGCCCATCAATACATGCCTGTTGAGCAGGACTGTTCCTCCCGTTGCGCAACCTTGCTCTTGCCTGCAGAGAGATTCACGGTCCATCACGCTGCTTTGAATGACGGCTTGATTGCTTGTCATTAAATCACCAAATAAGCTTTGAAACCAAGAAAAATCTACAAGGTAAGTGCAGGATAGGAAGCACGTTGAATTCCTTGTGGTATGATTTCTTTGTTGATTTGATTGTTCTTTTCCCCACCAAATGTAAAATGTCGTAGTTTCCAATATTTTCTTCCAGCTCTTGTGGGTAAAAATGTTGCACGTGGAACAGCTGTGACAGTGGGTTTTCCTTGTTGGGTTTTTGCTCCTTTCCATGAAAGGAGAACCGAATATTTTGGGGAGTCTTCTTTGTGATAGGACAGCTTTAAGTAGGCATGCTAATACCTGAGCTTCTTGGGGCTCGACTTGTGCTGTGACTGAAGAAAAGTCGAGCTATGAACAAGAAGTGCGTATGTGGGTGAGCACGTGCGTCTGCATGCGTGTAGGCCAGCCGGCGCGGCGCCCGCACGATGGCGCTGCGGCCCTTCTGATCCCGAGTCAGCAGCCCTCCCTCTGCCAGCGGCGGGGAGCAGCAGTGCTTTGCTCTTTTCCGACGCGCCCGCATCTCGGCGCGCTTAGCCGAGCTTCGTGGAGCTATGCTGCTGCTAGTGGAGCTCCTTCAGCTCCTGCATTTCCCTGTCGCCTGTAGGGAGCGTCTGTACTGCAGCACATTCCATGTCTCTCCCCTCTGTCACTTCTGGAGTTACCTTTTGCACACTCGCCCTGCTGAAGAGATGTACTGCCTATACAGTGTTGTTTCAGAACGGTGCCCAGCACTTCTTGGGCTTCTGTGCCATTTCCTGTACCTGGAAAGGTTTGAAAAGTACATTGCAAGCTCATCTGAACCGCCTGGGGGCAAAGGTTGGGCTGCCCTCTGCGCGCTGGCACCCAGTGCCTGCATTGCTTGAAGGTTTTCCGGTTTTCTCATGAACATCTAGTGTTGTTCCTCAGTACATCTGTACCAGTCGCTAAGGCATCCTCTTGAAAGCTCTCTGAAGAGTGGAATTATTACCAAAAAGTGTATATTTACAGAAGTGGCATCAGTTTCACCACTACATTATATGAAGCTTATACAAATGTCCTTCACCCAAAGCAGAAATCACATGCCGTATTTGTCAGAAGCTCTCAGGAGATATTCTTGGCTTATAAGCCAGGCCTTCGCCCTTTAGCCTTATTTCAGCTGTGTAGCCTTATATGCACACTGCTTGCAAGCAAAAGCTACAGCAAAAGATCTCCTCCCTCAGCTTCACTGAGGTTCTCAGATGCCTTTTTTTCTTTTTTTCTTTTTTTTTGCCATGGTTTGAAGCCTCTGATGTTATCTTTCATCTTGAGCCTCCACTGCCATCCTGGTTCACTCAGGGTTTGCCCTGAAGTGTCAGCAGCAGGCACATAAAAAGTGCTGCCAACTTATTGTTGACAGGCTTGGCACCAGTTGGTGGGTTGTGAGCGATTGATTGCTTTGTGCATCACTTATTATGTAGATATATATGTATGTCATAATTTTTTTCCTGTTCCTTTTCTCAATGTTCGTAAATAGTTTTATTTTGACCCGTGAATTCTAAGTTTTTTTTTTTTATTCTCTCCCCCATCCCACTTGGGGGGGAGTGAGGGAGTGGGAGGGGGAGGGGGTGAAGGGAGCGAACAAACAAACGCCTGTGTAGTGCTGAGCTGCCTGCTGGGTTAAGCTGCAATAGATGACTTCTGAAGTTGCAACATTTCCAACTGCTTGAAGTGTGTTCTGTATAAGTCTTTTTCATCATAAATGTGATGTCTCGGTGTCACTGCATGCCAGATGGGGGAGAATGAACATACTGGGAAAAAACTGGAAAAGGACAGGTGTACTATCTATTAAGGTGAAGTATTGTACCTCATGAGCAGGTACAGCTGAGACCTCATTGAATGTGGATAATTTTGACCATATCTGGAGAAAGCTGTTCGGTAATGCTTTCATGTGCCTGTGGTTAACCAAGAAAGATGTAGGTATTGTCAGCTGAAGCTGCCAGTCTTAAACTAGTATTTCTGTTTGAATGTTGGCTGCAAAACAATACCAAAATGATTATGCAGGTTCTGTGCAAAATCCCATATACTGTTCCTCCACTCAGTGAGCTTTCAACATTTAGATGCAGTTGGAAGAGTTAACTGAAAGGTTTTCAGCTGGCAGTTTGTCCTTACGTCATCTCCAAGTCCAACAGTTCCATAGATTCAATCACTCAGGGGGTAGAAATGTGGAAGAAAGCTGACTTAGGTGAATATTTGAGAGTTTGATGGGAAGTGAACTGCCTTAAAAGCAGCTGGCAATAGAAAAATATACTTCTAGTGTTTGAAAAAAAACCAATCATATTATTTGTTGTTGTGCAAATAAGCTTTTTCCTTGCTTGCAGGCTTGTGAGATCCAGGTTTTTGATTTTGAAGGAAATGATTTGTGAAAGATCATGGGAATCATATGGTTTTATGCTTAGCAATCTTATTAAAAACTTGAACTGACCTTTAGAAGCTTTTCTCCATGGTGTTATCTGGACAGATCTGCAAGTGGATGTCAACATGGAAGTCTGTATTGATCTTGAGTAGAAAACAGCATTCATACCTACCAGGTGAGACAGGCAGCTACTGCACACTGATGAAAGCATGAGTACTTTAAATCAGCCTCCTTCCCATTTATTAACCTGCATATGTGAATGCCTCACAGAAATGCCTCATGCCCAGATGTCAAAATGAAACACTGCTGCCTGTAGTGATTGGCGACATCATGGAAGATGATTCTGATTAGCTGCAATTTGCAAACTACTTGCAAATATTTCATTTCCAGAAGACTGCAAGTTATTGACCATGTGACATCGGAGAAAAAGTCATAGTGGGAGGTGAGAGTGAACTTCTTGTTCCAGAAGCTATTAACAGAGCTCTCGTTGGTACTGGGCACTTCATGATATGCACTTAATTACACCACAGAAGTGCTACTTTTAAAATGGTATTTTTGTGAAAACAGGCTCATTGCTGCCTTCTCCTGCGTGGGAGAAGTAGTTGCACACTTGGTGTAAGCTTATGTTGTTCTTGCTGCAAAACTGACCTTTTTCAAAATGTCATGTGTTTGGTGTTTGGTGAGTCTCAGACTTGACTTATTTCTGTGCGTTTTCATAAGGAACAGCAAGTGAAGAAAACAAGTTGCTTTGTTTAGGGAAAAAAAAAAACCAACCACAAATTTTTAACAGCAGTTCTATCAATTTCACAATCCCTGGCACTTAACCACTGTGTCTTAAATTATCTCAAAAAGCTGTTGACTTTTGAAGGCTCAGTTATCACCAGGCTCCATCTGAGCTTAGGCTTTGCTGAGTGGCAAGGGCAAGAGGCACGGTTACTGCATCACTTTTCAGTACAAATCTTTTGCTGCTCAGAATTCCTAACTAGATGGATGGTGGTGTCCCTTCTCTGTCTGCAGCTTTTGAGTGCTGTCACCTGAAGCCTGGCCGTGGGCCTGCTCAGTTATTGGGAAAGAAACAGACTTCTTGGCTCATTTCTTCTGCAGTCTGAGCTCTCTGTTGTACAGTGGTAAGAGGAATAAAATAACTAGCATTGGCTCCCAGCTCCTCTGGCAATCTTTTGGGAGAAAGTGTAGTGCAGGCACTGTCCAAGTTCTTCAGGAGGCTGCTTCACAAAGATGCCTGTGCTCGTGGGTATTTGGAAAAGACACATAATCCTCCATTGGCAGGGATGGATCTCACTAGTCCTGGTCTGCTATCATGAAATGTGAGACTGAGTCAGGTAGTAAAACATTATGTGTTCTTCTCAGGAGTATAAAACCCCCAAAAGAAACCGACTCCCTACAAAGAGAAAACCACAGCACGAACTTCTCAGGAAAGCTCCACTGACACATTCTGTCATCTCTCCAGTTAAAGAATTTCTGTCTTTGCTGAAATGTGGTGGGAGGTCAGGAGAAAGTTAAGATTTTCCCCTGCAACGCGTAAATCCCTTGGAGTGCAGCTTTCCAAGCACTAAGCCCTTTGCAGTTGCTGAGAAACCAAAAGTCTTGGTTTGCTTTCAGCTGTTCAATGAATAATTCTGGAAAGAGGGGGAATGATTGCTTTGTGTGCAGGGTTCTCTGGATGTTGCAGGGTTCTCTGGATGTCAAAATTTCCAAGTAGTTTAGCAAGCAGAGTCACATTATCCAAATAATATATTTGAGTAATCTTTGTTTTTTTGAAGTTATTTTCAAACAAATTCTGAAGGAAAGGCATTGAGCTCAATTCATGTCATCTTAAGCACATGATAAATATGCAGAATGATGATGATAGAGGAAAATTTTCTTATATACAGACAGTGCCAGAAGACAAAGTACTTCATAAGT